GCTGTCGGCACTGCCTGGCACTGGGGATGGGGCGCGTGGGGGCAGCTGGGGCCGTACTGGTGGCACTGGTGGTGCTGGGAGCCCCACAGAGGGGGAAGGAGAGCAGGAAGTGGGAGAGGGGAGGAGGGGAGGGCAGGACTTGGGACCCCCAAAAAACCAATCACGGGTGAAGGGGATTGAGGACTGGGGGGACAACGGGAAAGGGAAGAAGAGGCACCAAAAGACAGGTCTGCAATCCCCTGATTCCGAAATTGGCCAGAATAAACCCTTTCTAAGACAATTTGAAGCATCAGAAAGCAGGCAGTCTTTTTCTGTGCAGGGCACAGAGGAGGATATTTCTTTATTCACTGTGTGTCTCGAGACTTTACAACAAGGCATTCATTCCATCACGATAAGACATATGCATTGTTATAAATGATCAAATTGTGAGCCAAACTTATAAGAAAATTTAGCAAAGATTTATTAATTTGTCTGTGAGACCGAAGTTCAGTTGTCGAAACCACCACAGCCAAAGAGTCAATGTTGAGCCTGGGATCGGCGCCGGGTGAACACGGATCTGACCTCTGAGTGTCAGAGTCTCCCCAGTTCACGCTCGTGGCTTCCAGCAGCGAGGTTTTATACAGTTTATTCTGCCCGAGGCAGAGATGACCAAATTTTCTTTGTGTCTCTTCACATGCATCATTGTTGATTTCCATGTGCAGAGGTGGACAAAGGTCCAGTCCAGGTGTCTCGATGTTGTCAGTCGACTCCGGAGAAGCCATGTATTCACATATATCAGGATGGCACCTGGAAGCTTCCATTCTTATGTTAAAGCATCGATGTTTATCTTAACGGGAGTCCGGGAACTAGATATATATGAATAAGACAGCTGCTCCTGGTCAGGATAGTCAAAAGACATGGTTTGGATTTTACAATATTTTATACATTAATAGCATGAATTATCTCTACCATATACTACATGCATTAAAACATATTTCTTATCTAATACATGAATATCACTTTCCTAGAACTATTTTGAATGCATCCCCCTCCTGGAAAGCCTTGTATGGTCCTGAAGGGTCAGCTAAAGGGGTCTTTGGTGGTCGTATTCACTGAATGCTTCAATATAAAAGGTGACCTTGCCTGGAACTTTTTCTGTGAGCACGCACTGTTGCTTCTTTGTTACATGACTTGCAAAAAAAAAAAAATTCCCCCGGAGTCCTTTCTGCTTCTCCACTGATTCCACTTATGTTTATCATCCTGTGTAAATACTTTAACATTCTTTTATCTTGTTTGCTAGTTAGTCTTTAAGCTCTATTCCGCAACTTTAGGGGAACTGAGAATTTCGATTCTATGTATTATTTATCAGGACCCCACAGCACAGCCCTGCTTCAGGGTGTCAGCCCCTGTGCAGCAGCGTTGGGGATGGGGCATGTGGTGGTGCTGGGATTCTGCCCCTCCATGGGGTGAGCAAGGGGCATGGGAGGGGGACAGAGGGCGGAAGAGAGCTTGGGACTCCCAGCTGAGCAAAAGGGAAGGTGAGATGCCCAAACTGAACAGGATGGGGCTGGGACTCCCAAAACCAAGCACAGGGGAGGTGGGTTGGGAACTCGGGGGACGACGGGAAAGGGAGAAGAGGGAGCTGGGATCCCCAAACAGAGGGGGAGGGGGTGGGACAGACTGTGGAGAGGTCAGTGGATTGGGGGAAACGATGGAAAAGGAGGTGAAGAGGGAGGGAAAAGGTGAAGCTGGAATGGGAGAAGGGCAGTTCCATGGGTGCCCACCCTTATCGCTCAGCACTTAAGCCCTGGAGTGAATCCCTGGGGCTCAGGGTGGGGGGTGAAGGTGCAGATCTGCACTGAGGGGATTCCTCCCTGCGTCTATTCCCGGTGGGGTTCACCCCCCCCCCCCGCCACCCATCAACCAGTGCTGTGGCGCTGTGGGGCAGAGGGAATGGGAAAAACGGGAGGAAGAGGAGAGAGAGAGAAGCAGGAGGAGCAGGAAGAGGAGGAGCATGAAAAGGTGCAGAAGGAGAAGCGGGAGGGATACTGCTCGCTGTGTCCGCAGCCCCCCCCCGGCCCCAAGAGCATCGCACCCCCTACATCCCTCAGGTGACTGGGGAGTTTGACCCAAATATATTAGGGGGGTCTCTGGCAAGGATTTTTTTGGAAGGGTGTTTGGAGCTTGCAGATTCTGGAATCAAGCCCCAGGTATCTTTGCATTTCCCTGGCAGGTTTTCTTGGGGGGATGGGGGTGTGTTTGAAACTTGCAGAACTCCAGAGATGAGCCTCGAATGCTCCTTGTGGCGACAGTGTAGGGGGGTCCATGTCGCGATCGCCCAGTACTGGCAGGGCAGGACCTCAGTTCTGGGAATCCCCGGGAGAACCAGGGGAGTGTAACATGGGACCCCCGGAGTGGGGAAAGTGGAGGGGGTGATACCGGAGTTGGAGAACCCCCAGCAGCCTGGAGGGGTGGGGGAACAGAGAGATGAGGGAGGGTCAGGACGCCCGACCCTGAAAGGGATAGGAGGGAGAGGGTGGAGCCCCAAATGCCTGGAGTGAGGGGAGCCTGAAGAGGGTGAGCCTGGGACGACCTGGGAGCTGAAGCAGAATCAAGGGAAAAGGAAACCCGGAACCCCTCAGGATCCCTAAGCTGGACTCCAAGGAGGGGGGATCACCAGGATCCATGGGGACCCCAGAACTCCAAAGGAGGGAGACCAGTTAGGGGGAAGTCCTGGAAGGGGTTTTTTGATTGATCCAGGGGAATGTGGAGCAGCACGAAGTGACCATTATCCCCATCTGGTTCTCTTGTGCCACTGGGAGGGAACTGGGGATAAAATGAAGCCTGGGAAGGAGGGAGGGGTGAGGGAAATGAGTTTTACTAGGATGTAGTTTAATTCTCATTCTTTTGTTGTGGTTTGACTGGACATAAATTCAAATAATTTTCCCCAAGCAGGCTCTGTCGTGCCCATACCAGTTCCAGGGGAGCGGCCTCTCTCTGCTCTGATCCGAGCATGAACTGTTCTTTGGGTGTTCTCTGCCCTGTCTGGGGCAGAAAGGCACTGCCCAGAGCAGCCTTGGTGGCATCAGGCACCCAGCCAGACTCAAAACATTACATGTGGCACACTGGGAATGTTAAACATAAAGCTTAAAGCAAGCATAAAGGTTAAAGCAAAAAAGAGTTTCTGGAGGGTATTTTCCACCCCTTTGCCTTTCCTGGGAGCCATAGGGCAATATGCTGGGCACCCCTCCAAGCTGCTGGAGCACAGCCAAATGCTCAGACTGTGACTGTGAACTCTTTGCCCTCATTTCCAGTGTGTGATGATACTTAAGCAGCCTCAGGAATCTGTCTCCAGTCTCCATGAACTAATACTTACACAGCCCCAGGGATTTGGTTCAGTCTCCATGAGCTTGGCGGCTGTGAGGGTGGGTTCTGGAAAAGCAACTTCTCTATTGTAAAACTCAGGGCTGGTTGAGCTGGCACTGGCTGGAAAGATGCCAGGGATGGGATGGAGCTCAACACCCAGATCATGGCTTCATCTTTGGGGGATTGAAATAACCAGTTAATGTAATAAATGTAGGAAATTAAAGAGAGAGAAGAATAAAACCCCAAAATCATTACTTTACAGCTGGTTTTTTGAAGCTCTTGCCACCATGGGGGTGGTTTGAGTGTCTGGATGTGGTTTTTAGGTGAGTTCTAGTTTTTGCTGCCTTGTAAACGGTTTTCAGTGATTTTATTGGGTTTTTTTCAACCCCTTCTAGCTCTTGCAACAGTGCTTTTGTGGTGGGTTAGTATTTGGGGGCCCTCAGACCCCTTGATGCAACTTTAGGTGAGCAAAGCCACCCTGAGCAGATACAGGTGTGTTGTCCCTGCACTGCTGCAGGGGAGAGACCCCCCAGCCCCAGCACCACTTCTGCCCTCCCCAGCTCTGCTCCCTCTTGCCCCTTTGCAGGTATGAGGGGGGAGAGGAAAACCCTGCATCATTCTTCTGCTTCCAAGTCCAGAGACAGTTTATTTAAACTCTTGTTCTGGAAGGGAGTTGGAGCCTTTCTGTGGAGCAGAGGCTGTGCCCAGGAGTGGGAAATGACTCTGTATGGGGAAGACTGGTAGGTTCCATTACTCCTAAATCATCCATGGCACTTGTGGCCTGTGGGTGAAAGGGTCAGAGGTGCCCCTGGGAGGGGGTTTGTGAGCTGTTGCCTCCCCACTCTGCAGAATTTCTTGAAGCAGCTGCTTTGATCCAAAACAGGTGTGTGAGTGGGTGGGACTCAAGAAATCTGGGAGAGAAGAAATGAGAGGAAAAGCTTGGAGGGAGAGAAATTTCTGTGCCTCCGTCCCCTTTTCCCACCTTTTCCTCCCCCACCAGTTTTTCACCCCAAAATGCCCCAAGCTGCAGCCTGGAGCAGGGGGAATTGAGGGGTTGGAGACAGTAACAAAACACCACAACAATTAAACCAAAATTCAAGCATTTGGAGGGGAAAAAAATCCTTTTGGATGTCTTACCTTTGTAGACACAGGCAGGTGGTTCTCATATGGAAAATATTTACCTAGGGGAAGTATCAGGTGCAGGGGCTGATAATAATTTAATTTACAGTGATGAAAAAAACATCTGCTGGGCATTGATGTGAGTGATTTATATAGTTGTAATAAATATAGAAACACTCTTCAGTTACCAGTGACTTGACAGCAGAATCCACAGGTATTTCCAGTCTGTGTCAGTCAACCCTTGTTCTGTTTCTCTGATTATTTTTTTCCATATAAATATTCAGCAAATTGTTCCTGTGGGACCAGCTTTGCTTTGCTGAGGAGAGCTGTGACTACCTGGGAGGTTGGGAGGATTATCAGCTTTTTGTGTTTCTATTTTAGGATCACAGGAGCATCCTAGTAAAGCCCCAGGAAGGAGCGGGACCTGGTTGGGCCCTGTGAGCTTGGGGTGTTGTCCAAGATCACTTTGTGGCAGGAGGATCTGAGGAACACTCTTGTCCCTGGAGGGTGCCCCTGTCCCCTCTCTGGCCCCGGGGATGGCAGAAGTCCCTTGTGAAGAAGGTACAGAGGCACCATCTCCTGCTCCAGGAGCTTCATGAGCTGCCCTGCACAGGGTGGGGAATCAAGGTTGGCTCAAGTGGGTGAGCACCTTTTGGGGTGCCTGGGTGGCCTGGAATGGGGGCTGGGCTGAAAACCTCTCTGGATTTGTTCAGGCCCTTGATGCAACACCTTTTCAGGACACCCACAGCCAGCAGGAGTTGGCTGAGGTTGAAGCAGAGCTGGAAAAACCAAGCAAGTCCTGGTTCTTTGAAAGCTGAAATTGTGTTTTCCTTCCTGCTGCCAACATAAACCTGTCAAAGGAACAATGGTGCCTCTCTGTCCTAGGAGGAAAATATCCCAAATCAGGCCTTTCCCACTCCCCACTTCTGAGTGTGAGTTAGAATTTGCTTTGTTTGCACAGGTGGAGACTCAGCTGCTGTGATGGAGCTGCTGGAGCAGAGAGCAGAGGGAAGGAGCAGTAAGCCCCAGTTTGGTTATGGGGATGTTGTTTCAAGATATGGCTCAGTGTGTTGGGGCAAGCTAAAATGGTCAAAGGTGTTGTGGGGAGTACGAAATATCAAAGTGTTTGCAAGCTGATGGTCTGGGGGATGGTGCCCATTTCATGGTGGAGGGGGGCACAGAGGTGATGCAGGAGGTTGGGAAGCCTCAAAAATCCTTGGAAGCCGATGATAGCACTGGGATGCCCCCTGGACTGAGCTTGTGCCCTGCTGGGAGCCTCCAGTGTGTTTTGGGGCTGTGTTAGAAGGTGTTGAAGTGATCCATAAGGGAAATGTAAGAGCTGGGAGAATAAGGGGTGCTCTTCATGCCCTTCACACGTGTTTTGTTCCAAGATTTCAGCCACAGATGCACCAATAACAGAAAGGCGATTATTGCGGTCACCGTGCTCACCGTGGTGCTGCCTCTCACAGTCACCATCATCATGCTGGCAGGTAAGTGGCTGAGGGTGCAGAAACCACCCAAAAGTCTCCTTCCTGGAGAAGTCCCCCAGCATGAGTCACTTGGGCATGTTGTGCTTGTTTGCAGCTAAGAAAGACCCACCCTGCCCAGCTACCGCCCTGCCCAGCTGCCTGGAGAGTGGGATTGGCTTCGGGAACAAGTGCTTTTACTTTCTGGAGGAGGAAGTGGACTGGGAAGGGAGTCAGCACTCCTGCCTCTCCCGCCAAGCCCACCTGGCCACCATTGACACCAGGGAGGAGCTGGTAAGAGAAACCCCTGAGGAGGCATTGTGGAACTATTGGAATAAAATCCCAGTATTACCAGGTGGAACATGCCTGGGCTCATCTGACCCTTGCTGCTGGACCAAAGGTGGCAGCTGTGGTATTTCACCTCAGAGACACCTTTGGCTGGCTGGAAGTTGCAGTTAGGCACTCGGAACAAGTCCAGGCATGGTAGAAACTCAGTTTACCTCTGGTGGAAAGGGTTCAGGCAACAGTGAAGAGGAAAAGGAGAAGATTCTGCTGGAGGGTTAAATCCAGAGTTTTATTCCAGGGTCACAGAGCTCTGAATCTTGGTAACAGCTCCCAACAGAATCCCGAGTGCATGGTCTCCGTGTCTTTTAAGCTCGGGGGGAGGGAAGGGACAGGTGAGCCACCAACCAGGTGGGAGGGGTGGGTGGAGTCTCAGGGGACAAATGAGACCTAGACTGGCCAATGACCCGAGGGCTGAGGGGCATCTTTTGAATTTTTGCCCATCACACAATGCCCTTGCTGGAATGTTAAGATTGACTGACAGCACTTAGCAGGAGGGCAAGGGGGAGGGGAAAGGAGAGGGTGGCACACCTGGGGGACTGGGATAGGTGAAACAGGAAATGGCATCACACTGCAACATGGAACAGCCTTTGGAGAGCAGATTTGGAAATTGCAGGAAATTGACTGAAGACAATAGTATGGAGGTACCTGTGATCATTGCTTTCCCCACTTCCAGCATTTCCTCCTGCGCTATGGGAACTTCATGGAATACTGGGTTGGTCTCTGGAGGGAAGGTTCTGGACCTTGGAAATGGCTCAATGGTTCCCTCTTCAATGCCCTGTACGTCCCATCTTCTGGAGAACAAAACTATGGCATGGACTGAGCCGGGGCAGGGGCTGGATGCAGGAAGCACAAGTAGATACAGATCTGTTGAGGTGGGAGCAATCAAACACTACTTTCCCTGGTTGTGCCAAAGCATTCAGACACAACCCATGGATTTTTGGGATGCAGGTGATGATGGGAGCCTGGGGGCATCCCTGGATTAGGGGCATCCCTGGGACCAAGAACATGAAAACCATTGAGGAGTGGAAGGTAGTTTGGGTTCTTCATGGGGGCTTTGCTGGGAAGGTTGGTCCCTGCTCCTGCAGCACTCCTAATCTCTCTGGAAATGGGAATCCCTCCCATCCCAGCTGTCTCCCATGAGCTCTAACTTTGCTGTTGATCCAGGTTTGACATCCAGGGCAATGGCCACTGCGCCTACACGAACTCCCACAGGATCAGCAGCGACAGGTGCTCTGAGACGAAATTCTCCATCTGCAGCCACCTGCAGAGACATCCCAGTGAAGCCCAGAAGGATACAGAAATCCTGAATTCCACCTGAAACCTCCCTCTTAACAGAGATCCACCACCAGCTGGTGTTAACCCCACACAATGTGGTATTGAGTCTCTGTATTTGTTTAAATTTTAGCTGGCAAACAGCTTGCAGGTTGGGATGAGTCTGTTTGCTGAAACTCTGTCAGTTGAGATAAGGGCATTTGCTAAAGTGAAAATCAATGATTGTGCAAAAAAAAAAAATCAATCAAAACCTGCACTCTGGAGCAGGCGATAAAGAGGCAAACTGGGAAGGAGTTGCATGGGAGAAGTCTATGGAGGACTGACCCCATGGAAAGGATCCCACCCTGGAGCAGGGCAAGGACTCCTCTCCCTGTTGGGGAAGCAGCAGTATGAAGTGACCATAACCCTGCCTCCCATTGTCCCTGCACCAGTGGTGGGGAGGAGGGAGGGAGTTGGGGATAAAGTAAAGCCTGGGAAGGAGAGAGAGGTGGAGGAAAGGAGTTTTATTAGGGTTATTTTTGCTTGTCATTTTGCCTTTTCTGGGACCCCAAGGGCAACAGCCTGTGCTCAACAGCCCAAATTGCTGGAGAATAGTGGCCCTCGGCCATGCCATCTCCCCTGTCTGTTCCATGTTCCCTGTCTCTCCTGTGTCCCTCGGCTCTGTGGGGCTGGGGCAGCAGCAAGTTCCAGGGCAGCCCTGGGGTGGAACAACTTTGAGCCCAGCTGAGCCTGTTCACCAAATTCCACCCAGACAGGGTTCAGGTCACTCCCAGAATGGTTCCCAGTCACCCGCAGTATGGTTCTAGTAATTCCCACTATGATCCCAGTCACTCCCAGTATGATACCACTGTGACCCCAGCATGGTCCCAGAGGTTCTCATTCGCTCCTAATATGGTTCCAGTTACCTCCGGTATGATTATTCCCATTGTGGCTGCAGTCCCTCCCAGTATGATTCCAGTATGAACATGGTCACTCTCAGTATGACGCCATTTGTTCCCAGCATGGTCCCAGTTTTGCTCCCAGTAACCCAGTATGCTTCCAGTCAGTCCCAGATTCTCCCAGTATTATTCCAGTAACTCCCTTTAAGGTTGCTTTATGATCTCAGTTATTCCCAGTCTCTCCCAGTATATCCCAGTTACCCTCAGTGTTTCCGTTCACTTCCAGTTGCTCTCAGCAGATTGCAGCATGATTCTAGTTGCTCTTAGCCACTCCCATTCACCTCTAGCATGACTGGTCTTGAGTGTAAAAATATTGCAGTTTGAAACTTAGACCTGAAATATCTCCCACAGACTGTGGGACAGCAGCTTTTCCTAGAGGATGCGCAACATGGCACACATTTCATCAGTGTGACTGTGGGTGCTTCGAGCTTTGTCCTGTGCCACTCTGGGATGTCATGAAACAGGACTTCACCTGCCACCAGCCCTGTCACCCTCTGCCACTGCAGCTCCTTTGACCTTGTGTCCACAAAACCAGATGCAAAGAGTTTCTGCTGCTCCCCTCTTAGCACAAATCCATGGAGAGCTGGGATTTTTCCATACTCTTCTGTCTCCATTATTCCTTATTCCTAAAGAACCAGCCCTCGCTCCTGATGAACACTGCATGTTCCAGGAATGGCCATCAGCTCCCTTTCCTGCCTCGAAATCTTGAAACTGTTTCTAAATGCTGCTCCCTTCAGCTCTTGGATAGCTACTCTGTACGCAGAGCTGAGAAAAAAATCCACTGGTCACCTCTCATCAGGGAAGTGCTGCCGGAGTTAGAGGTGTGTGGGAAACCTCTGTCCCTCCATAGATTTTTCATAGATCTCTACATGGGGTGTGCAGATATGGTTTTTGTATAGAAAGGATGGAGAGTGCAGACACTTTGTGTGACACTTTCCATCTCTGTGTTTGTTCCTTATCCGGGGATACATAGACATCCAAGAGCCCCTTGCACAGACAGACCCATCTGCCCCTGGATAAGGAAGTGCAGCGGGGCTGTGTGGGCAGCGAGTCCCAGATGAGTGAGATCCAGCTCCAGCCCTGCCAGGCCCTGTCAAGGCTCAACGCCGGCTCCTCTGGAATGGGAAAGCCCTTCAGCCTTGTTCTTGTGCAGAGGGGCAGTGCTGGCCTAGCAGCACAGGTTGTTCTCCCCACAAGGTTCGGGAGACAAGAACACAGCCCTTCCAAATGCTGCCTGGAGTCACAGCTCTGGGTGCTCCCCAGAAACCTCAGCTCTGGCAGCTGCTCTGCGACCATCTTCTGCCCCAGGCTGCAGGGGATGCAGCGGGAGCCTGGCTGGGCTCTGCCCTGGGGCCATCCTGCAGGGAGAACTGTGCACAGGCAGGATTTAGTTCCCACAAACAGCCAAGCCAGGAGTGCAGCTCAGCTGCTCCAGCCCACACTGCTGTGCACTGGGCTCTGGAGCTGGAGTTCCCCACGGAGGGGACGGCACTGCTGGGCTACAGGTGACAAATCAGCTTCAGCCTGAATCTCACTGAGGTAGGAGGTTGGGCTGGCAAGAGTGGGGAGGGTAAAGAGCAGTCATGGAGCTCATCCTGCTGGAGGGACAAGGCAAAAAGAGTGGCAACACAGCAGTGAGGGTAGCTGAGGGCTTCAGAGTAGCTTTGAATGACACCGTAGCCTCCCACAGCACCCCTGAGACATTACTGTTGTGCAGCCAGGGACAAGCAGAGTGGAGTAGCCCAAGCCCTTCCTCACCAGCAAATCAAAGGAGCCAGTGCATGTCTTTTGGAGTCCCACTTCTGCTTCCCCATGGGGTTTTGTTTTGGTCAGGCTGTCTGCCCCCCAACCCAGGGCACAGTGGATGCTGTTGGCAGGACCAGGAGCTGACTCCCGTTTTATTACATCCCCCTGAGCCCTGCCAAAAAGCAGCTTGGCAGCCGACTGAAGAATTTGTTGCATCTACCCCAGGAAAGGGGGGAACTTTTGGTGCCCGGCCAGGGTGTGCTCCCAGATCTGGGAGCATCCCTCTGGCTATGGACTCACCTGCAAATTGGGTGTAGAGTGTGTCTTTGAAGAAGGTGCCAGAACTGAAGTCAGTCTTCAGCTTGCCAGTAGTCAGGTTAAGGAAGAGATTGTCATCCTTGAGGTTGTTCTTGGTGTCTCCAGTAGCAGCATCACCTGGTACAGCTTCTCCAGGGGCTCCTTTTCCTTCCCTGGAGGCCAGACCAGGCTGTCAGTGTTCTTCAGAGGGCCCTAGACGTCAATCAGACGAGCAGAAAAGGGATTGGATGGAGCCCAATAGTGGCAGACCAGGTCTCCAGCTCAGCTCCAGCACAAGGACTGCATTTTCCCTTCTAATGGTCCCTGTGCAGAGCTACAGGGAGGACAAAAACAGTCTGGTTTGCTTTGCCACTGATTGCCAAGAGATGTGTGGAGCTGTTACCTGCCAGGCCCTTGGATCACTGTGCACGTGTGTGAAAAACATATTCACTCTGCTGTGGAAATGTAAAAAGTTTAATAAAGGACAATGGGAGACCAGGAGCATAGATCAAAGGTTATTATGGCCGGGTGCATCTTAGACACCCTGTTATCTTTGGGGATACCCCTTAAATACCTTTTCCCTTACACCAGCCTGCTGCATATTCATAGACCCTTACACATAGCAAACTTTCCCCCAAACTAGTATATGTTCCAAGAACTGTTTAGCATGGCCCCTCCTTGGATCTGCCTTTTTAGAGCATGCAAATTCTTGGTTGTGGTTTTAGTCCTTTTTTTTCATCATCTTCAGTTTTGGCCCTGGCCCACATTGTCTTTAGACAGTGAGTGCTGATAGTTGGCAGATCTGTAGCAAGTGTCTTCATCACATGTTCATTGGATGTTATCCTATCCAAGAAGGCAGTTTAACACAAGCACACTTCTATCAGCTATTTCACTACTATGTCTAAGCTTAATTAACAACAGAAATAAAAACTATATCTTTATAACAAAGTTACTTTAACACTACACATATAAAATCTATTTTAATATTTGCAAAAAGCTAATATAATATTTATCTATAGCAATTCCTCCTCTTACTCTTTATACTTGAGCAATATTTCTTGTTCACTTGCTTTCTTTGGACTATGCTGGTAATTAGTCAAAAAAACAGGGGATTAAACAAGGAAGAAATATCAAAACAGTTGTAACACATAAAAGGAAGAAGCCCGATTTCTTCACCAATCTATCTCCCAATACTTTACCCCACCAGCTAGGTTTTAACATTGTTTTCCAATTTCTGGACTGGTACCTGGGTTATTTTTCTGATGTCTTTTGCTTTTTCCAGGACAACATCCCCGTTATCATCTATTTTCAACAATCTGATTGTGGTGGTTTGACAGGAAATGTGTTTTTTGGGATGTTGTGTTTGGGCCAATGGATATTCAGATTTTAATATTGGCATTTAACCTGGCCATTAGAACATGGATCCGCCTCTGAGAACACAGGGTTAAAAGCAGGGCTCTCCCCTGGGAGGGTCCTTTTGGGTTTCCGGCGGGAAAGAGTTCGGGTCTCTGCCCCGGCCCAGCTGCTGGCTGGGCGGGCGGAGGGGAAAAGCCATGTGGCCGGGAGAGGTAGGCCTGACCCCGGGGCTGGAAGAGTGGAAGAGAGAGAAAGAGACACCGGGAGCCATCGGGCAGCCCCCCGGGAGACAGAGACAGAGAGAGAGAGAGCCGGTGCCTGAGACTGTGACCTTGAACCTTGATAAACATGGGCCTGTGCCGGCAGCACGGCTGGGACGGAGAAGAAGGGGGGGTGCAGCCGGCCGCTTGTAGGAGCTTTTAACCCCTTTTTGGACAATGAGAACTTTACAGAACATTGACCTTTCCTAGAAGATAGAGTGGAAGATGAGGAAGGAAATGGGCAAGTGTGAGAGAGGTCTGGGCAAGTGAGAGATGTTGGAAGAATAGAGAAGAATCCTAGTGGGAAGAGATGATGGAGTGGCTTTTGCTGGACTCTTTTTGTACAGCCATGGACAGAACCATGTTCCTTGTGATACAGAGACTGCATTCTAGGGGCAGGCAATGCCTCAGAACCAAGAGGGTTTGGTGTTGGTGCCCCTCAGCCCCAG